GTCATTTACTATTGCTGTGGCCAGCCAGCTCGGAGTCAGTCCTCGGCTGAGGAGATTCTAATCTCCTCTTTGTATTTTGTAAAAAACACCCATGTGACCAAAGAATCAGTATCAAGCAAACCCCCTAGGGGCAATACCTATGTGAAAGAAAAAGTGAGGGGGAGGGTAGAAATCAAATCAAAATAGAGTTTGTGGAGGAAATAAACCACACCACACCCCACGGTGCCCACCTCTCCCGAAAGGCATCGAGAGCACCAGTGCACACCATGTGCTCCTTCTCCAGGGACACCCAGGTGCAGATGTAGCCACGGAAGAGTGGCAGGCAGTGGCAGACCCACTGCCGCCTGGGCCTATTAATGGCCAGCTTGGCCAGGCCCCAGAACAGACCCACGAGGAGATCCTCTGACCTGCCCGCTCCCCTCTGTACCGAGTATCCAAAGATCAGGAGCATGGGGCTGAAGTGCAGCCAAAAACACAAAAGAAGATCCTTAAGATAACTGAAAAGGGAGTGCAAGCACCCACACCCAATATATATATGGTCCACAGACTCCGCAGCGCTGCAAAACAGACAGTTGGGCTGGGAGTCTGTGAACCACTACAATCTGCAGTTATGTGGAACTGCTGCATGCAACACCTTCCACCCCAGATCCCTGAGGGAAAGAGGGAGGACTCCCATGTACAGTGCCCTCCACTGGGGACCCTGGCCACCCGGTGGCAAATGGGTGCGCCAATGCCTGTCTGGGCGGTGGATGAAGGAGAAGAGGTGGATGGTGTGCAGCAGCAGCCCATACAGGGCCCACCATTTCACATCTTTAAAAGATACAACGGTGAAATTCCAGAGGTGGCTCAGGTTGTAGGGCACAAGTTCCAGGGGTAGGTATGGGATTCTGGGGCAAATGTGAAATTCTGTCGAAACAGGGGTATGCACAAACGGAATCCCACCGTGCACCTGAGTATTCTCCGACTGGTGCACAACGTCGGGTCCGACCACCGCCGTTTTAAGGCGTTGAATGACGGTGGCCATGAATTGGACGTCTCCCGCAGCCCTGCATGCCAATTCCTGCAACAGCATCCAGCTCAGGCCCCCGCCACCCAGCACGTTCCTGACTCTGGTCACCCCCGTGGCCCTGGCCTTCCCCTCTGACTGCCAGTCGAACCGGCAACTATGGAGGTGTGGATTCCTGAGCAGCAGCTCTCTGATGATGGCCACCATTCCTGGTAAAGGGTAGGCACAATGCGAGTCGACCATGTTACAGACAGTGATCAGATCCCGGTAAAAGTCAGTGTCCTGAGGGCGACCTCCAAACCGTCATGGTTGATAAACCGGGGCTGCGTGACATAGTTGAGATTATGCACCTGGCAGAAAACATATGTCGCCAGGGCACACCACCTAGGAGGAGGCTCAATGTAAAGGTATCGAAAAGTCGCCACCTGAGTGCAGATGCACACCAGCCACTGACTGCCCTCCTCAAGAGGGAGACTCAGAACCTGTGCTGCGACCCAGTGCGTCATTTTGTCCCAGAAGAAGTGAACCAATGTTCTCTGGATGTCAGCAACAAAACCAGGAGGAGGGGCCAAAGGGACCAGCGGTACTGCAACATGGAGGCCACCAGCTGGCTTACGACCAGCACTCGATTCCTGTAAGACCGCACTCTGTCCAGCGGCCTCGGCAAGCCGAGACTTTGGTCTCCAGCTCCTGCCAACTTGCCGGCCATGATTCCTCAGCTGGGCTAAGGTAGGCCCCCAGATAGAGGAGGTGGGTGGTGCTCCAGCTGAACCCCCGTAACTCCTCCTGCAGAGAGTACACCTGCCATGACTGACCAGGAGTCTGGAACATTTAGCCGAGTTGATCCTGGCAGAAGATGCTAAGTACACCGCTTGGCACTCGCATTCCTCCCCAGGTCAGCCAGGTCAGTGAAAGTGATGTGCACGTCAGCAGTGTACGCCCAGAGGGCCATGCCCGTGCCCAGCCCACGCAGAACCAGTCCCAACAACCTCCTCTGCAAAAGGCACAGGAAAGGCTCCATGCACAGGGAATACAGTAGGCCAGACAAAGAGCAGCCCTGACCCATTCCTCTCCCAAAGCGAAGGGGCCCTGTCAGAAACGCATTTACTTTAACCAGACACTCTGCGGTGGCGTACAAAAGGCAGATCCGTGCGACAAACTGCGTCCCGAACTCGAATGCCTGCAGAGTGCCAAGCAGATACTTGTGATTGACCCTGTCGGACGCCTTCTCCTGATCGAGGGGCAGGAAGGTGCTAGGCAGGCCAGTCCATCGACAGAAAAGAATCAGGCCCCAAACTAGGTGAATCCTCCAGCCCAGGACCATGTATGGCTGGTCCCGGTATATGACGTGGGCCAGCACGGAAGCCAGTAGAGAAGCCAAAGCCCTAGCGAAAATTTTGTAATCTGTGCTGAGGAGGAAGACCTGATGCTAGTTCTTCAGAGAACAAAGGACCCCCTTCTTTGGCAGCAGCATGATGACCGCCCTGCACGAAGAAAGGAGCAGCTTAGCCGTAAGACGCTCCCCCAGCACCTGCGCGTTGTCGCCCCCCAGGACATCCCAGAACGCCCTGAAGAACTCCACGGTCGGCCCGTCCAGCCCCGGGGACTTGCCCCTCATGAGCCGGTTGAGGGCGTTGGTCAGCTCCTCAAAGGTGATGGGAGCGTCAAGCCTTTTGGCGGAATCCGGCCTGAGCTGCAGCAGGTCCTCCCACACCACTCTGCGAGCATTCTCGCTGGAACAGATCCAGAGCAAACAGAGCCGCGTAGTAGAAGTGCACCTGGGCCCTGATGCCACCGGATCCAAGACGAGGGACCCGTCGTTTGCCAGCAGCACAAGGAGCTGCTGATGGATGCCACACCTTTTTTTACAGTGAATAGAAAAAGGGGGAGCCGCGATTCAGATCCTGGGGAGCTGGAACTGTGACTTCACATATGCGCCCCACAACCCGACAAGCTGCAGGTCTCGGAGCATCTCCTGGTTACATTGTCAGTTAAGGCTTTCCTGATTGTACCAGGTTAACAACCCTAATCTACAACCTCGTAGTTAATGAGGTCCAACTCGTTCCAGTCACTACACTATGCTAATGATAAATTTTAGAAAGCAGCTAAGCAATAATGCAACTATAACGACAGCACTTAAGTCAACAAACAGCCATCGAAATTGCTAGAACCAGTTCTTGTCAACTCTAACAGACAAAGAATATTTTCAATTTTTCAGGAGTTGAGGATTTAACTAACTTTGCAGGTCCATAGTCTTATAGACCTTCATGAACATGTGAGTTCTCCAAAAAATCGTAACTTGCATACTGTAAGAAAAGACCCTTACAGTGAAAATAGATCTCTTCAAATTCAGTGGAGTACTGGTTACATTAATGCTTGAGTGAAATCCAGTCCCTTTTCCTCCCGCACCTCTGATGAAAATGGTTTCTGCTAGAAATTCTGACCCAACCTCTGGATTCAAGGTCTAATTGTAATTCTGGATATGTCACAGAGTGACTCAGAGAAAATCTAGGGCTGAAAGAGGGTTCAAGGTTTTTTCACACAGGGGAGATTTCTCATTATTTTTCTTTCTTAACCGCAAGAAGAGATGTAGAAAAGTTCTAAAAACAGTAATGCTGGAGAAACTCCGCAAGTCTGGCAACGTCTGTGGAGAAACAAAGTTAATGTTTCAAGTTCGGTATGACACTCCTGACGTTCCTCCGGATGTTTTGGTTTTTAGTTTAGATTTTCAGCATCCACAGTACTTTGCTTTTGTTACAAAAATGTTCTGATTGTCTGATTATCACTGTTACACACACAGCTAATGTACAGACAGATTAATTTTGAATCAAATGATAATACTCTTCTGGACTATGACAGTTATTGTGAAGTGAAGTCAGGCTCAGAAACATTTTAAGAAGATAATAGGGACATTTTTCTCTCTTGTAGAGAACAAGTTAATAATCCTTTTGTACAAAATTTAAAAGCCAATTATGATGGTTAGCCTTTTTTTTTGTGAAACATAGCTTTGTTAATAGGAATGGGCGTTCACATGGCACCTGTATGAATTAAATCAGAAGTCACATGACACCAGGTTATAGTCCAAAAGGTTTATTTGAAATCACAAGCTTTTGGAGTGCTGCTCCTTTGTCAAGTGAAGTCACTTCACCTAACATGGCAACATGAGAGGCAACATTGTAAACTTTTCACTGTGCTCTTGTACTTCTGTGCTTGAGTACACATGCAATAAAACCTAAAACCTAAACCTAGCAGCTATAACTGGTAAAGATTTATCTGTGGAATGTAATATTTGTGTGTAATGGTTCCATGTCTGCTTGGATAAAGAAATTCCTAATGTAAACTCCAAAATGTATCCTCCCCTAATGTACTCCCCAAAATTAGATATATCCTCTGAACTAAAATTAACAAGACTCTTGGTTAGTCAATTGTCTAATTAGATGTATGCAGATTATCTCTTGTGGTATACATTCAACAATGATCAATATCAACTTTTGGAGTAAACAAGTGATTCCACAAGGTGACAGCACTTCCATACAATCATAGAATCCCTACAGCGTGGAAGCAGGCCATTTCCATTTGTTCTTTCATTTGAGAGTAAGTCAAAAAGTCCTTCAATCTTCAAAGGGTAAACAATGCACCAAATAATGAGAAGAAATCCTGTGAAAAAACATTATCCCTTGAGGGCACTACATAATGTTTCAGCTTTGAATCATTCAATTTATCTTCCGCCTCCAAATGACCGATTATATGTTTTTGGACTTGGGCACAGGTTCATGAAATCTGTAGCATTTGTACCATTGATTTGAGCTGTAACCATCAGATGGGAGCAAAACAGTCAGTTATTGTCAGCAACATTCTTGCAATCTCACATTGGAACCCCGCTAAGTCTCTGTGAGCCCACTGGTGGCATCTTTTCACAGCACATGAGCTGTGCTAGTCCAGTGCTGACAAAACTAGCCATTTTGCATCTGACCTTTTCTGTTTCTATCTTTAGGTGAGCTCAATTCAGAACCAAATGCAGTCTAAGGGCGGTTATGTAGGTCCGCTTCTACCAGTTAATGTTCAGACGCAGCTCGTGGATACAAAGGCTGGATAACATTGAAATAAAACCTGTGGTAAGTGTAAAGGCTTAATCTTTCAGAATGAACATAATTGCCTCAAATAAACAGGATGTCACAGCTATAATGCAAGGAAATTCTGCAGGTGCTGGAAATCTGAAATAAAAACTGAAAGTGCTTAAGAAGCTCAGCAGATCTGGCAAGCATCTATATACAGAGAGAGAAAGCCAGCATTAACATTTTGTGATAACAAGGTGTAGAGCTGGATGAACACAGCAGGCCAAGCAGCATC